CCGTGAATATCATCTTCGATTCTGGACGCTAATACCTGGAAAATGCACCTTTCCACCGTTTTCGTGTTTACCCGCATAGTTGGGATAAAGCCGAAAATATTTACCCTTCATGGTTTCAGTCTGCACCACAGCATATTGTAAAATGGCCCAAATATAGAGCATGTGGTTCAATGAACAATTTCTGGGCTTCCTCATAGGGTCAATGTAGATCCTGTACTAGGTTTACATTGTTGTTCACAGATATTCAAAGTTAAATGCTTCGTCACAGCCCGAGCTTCTCCCACTTGGCTTTGACTGGAATAGAGACAATTGTTTTGTGAATGTGTTGGCATGACAGCAACGTCAGTAAAATACACATATTTTGCTTCGATGTAACCCAGAATTGGAATGCCCAAAATATTTCCCTGTCCCTTCAGTGCTTTGGTCTTGGGAATGCTCCACATTTAAAGATAATGAAGCGAGCATTAACAAGCAGGCAAGCAAGCATGATGAAATAAGCTCACTTATTACTGTTGGGATGCTTTTAAGTGGAAAATACCGCTCTAAACAAAACGATTTTTCGGTTTAGTTAACATGCTCCTGAAAACATTATTGTTTCATTACGTTCTCTCCCTTGCACAACATCGACTGAGAGCCAATTGATGGCCGCTATACCTGGAAATTGTGCTCACAAACGTCAGATATGAACGACTCGACCGCGGCATGGCCAATGGAATGACCGGATTTGAATGACGTTATAGCGTCATTGGTGCCTGGTTGACCTTCAAATCGTCTGCAAGAAATATTCTGCATAGCTTCGTAGGCGTGTAGCTCAGAAACTAAAGGGGTTTAGAAAACTAAAGAAACGAAAGGTCTAGGTCTCAGGGAGGGCGGAGCTGTGAACTGCACTGAATGATCTTCAAGATGTCTATTTCAGTTCCAACCCCATGCAAATGTGGGACATCTCTTTTGAAACAATAGGCCCTCGTTGATGGAGAGGCACTTGAATAAAATTCAAGCAGTTAAAAGCATGACAACCAGTGCTCACGACATGAATTTCTACTACGAAAGCTTCTCCGAGCCACTTTTACTGGTGCAGAAATATGCTAGGCTTCCCAGGGCTTTTGAAAACCAGCCCCCCCCCCCCCCTTTGGAAAAACGATGAGGGGCATACCTGGCCCCTTGTGTGGTGAGGTCATGCTAGAAGCGTTTGACCACTTAAGCTAGTTTCATCCGTTTGTGTGAGAGGTTTACGACCACACCCGCTGTCAAAAATCTGTTCGCTCTGTTTTCGGGGTCGGCGACGGGTCCTAAAACCCACGCAATCCAGACAACTTCGTAATTCTGCAGTATGCATACGTAACCAGGATTTGGCAACGAAAAAAACAGGGAACCTCGCGAGCCCCAGCACGAAAGACTCTCTTGGTTCCATCCTGGATTGTACATTCCGGGCACAGCCAAGACTATTCCCGATCAGTGCTGCCATCTACAGATTGTAGAGGACATCTCTGCTTCACGGCATCAACCGCTAACTCACGCTTTTGGACTAGCAATGTATGGCGTGTTCAGCCCAGGCCTCCAAGCAGGGATGAGGAAAATAATTCATTCACTTCCCTCCTGCGTGCGCGCGTACGTAAGCGTGCGTGTCAGTCAGGAGCCCCAGTGCTGAGCGGGGGTCTCTCCACCCCGATTTCAGCCGTTCCTGTCGCAACGTATATTTCTGCGTCAATGAGGACCCCTGCGTTGATCCGGGATCAAGTACTAAGTGCCCGGGCCAGAGCACCTTTCGCGTCAGGGAGCTGACCAATGTATGATAAATCCCTCTAAAGACCTCCGGGTCTACCAAGGGACCCTTCTCCCGCGTCGCCAGGATTGCAGCCGTTAGGCACCGTGGTGCCCACCGGCTGCACACACACACACACACACACACACACACACACACACACACACACACACACACACACACACACACACACACACACACACACACACACACACACACACACACACACACACACACACACCACACACACACACACACACACACACACACACACACACACACACACACACACACACACACACACACACACACACACACACACACACACACACATTGCACACAGTCACGCATCAAGTCATCAGGAAAATATTTCCACGTGTGCCGGCGAACCTAAGCAAATCAGATCGGAATGATTTTGTTGGATGAAAAAGTCAGTTGAAGGAAAATACTGCAAAAATTGCACACAAACACATACACATACACACATACACATTACACACACCCACGCATCAAGTCATCAAAAAAATGTTCCACGTGTGCCGGCGAACCCAGACAAATCAAATCGGAATGATTTTGTTGGATGAAAGAAGTCAGTTGAAGGGAAATGCTGCAAACATTGATTGCAGGCAGCGGGAAGTCGTGCGGCAAATTCATGGACAGTGTTAACCCCTGCAAATGGCTGGTGGAAAGGGCCGATATGCTGAGAACGTCGGACGGGTGTAACCAGACTGAACAATGATGTCAGGTGAGCGCAGTCAAGCCTGTGATGAAATATGGCTTATAGAAATACGATGTCAGGCTGAGTGAGGATTGCCTTGATTTTGAAGAAAGCAAGTGATGTTCAAAATCCAGTGGAGGACACCGAGACTAGCTACTCGAACCAAACCATATAAGAAGGCAATGTTGTAGTCTTTCGTGCCGGGCGAGATGGGAAACGGCAGCACCGCTCCAAATAACACTACCGTACTCTAGCAATGGTCTCACGTGAGTGTTGAAGGCACAAAGCAAAGCCTTGAGATTGAACCGCGCCTGACGAGGGCACGACGACATTTACACGCTTCGCATGAGAAGACCCAGCATCCTATTTGCCTTCGAAACAGTTGAATCTATGTGATTGGCAAAGGTGAGTTTGGTGTCCAGCGAGACGCAAAGATCGCAAATATGCTGGCAGCTATCCAAGCGGTGACAATCTACTGCGTATGACCAGTAAACAGGTGACGTGCGGAGGGTGATTAATATGGTATTGCACTTAGCTGGCTTCAGTTTCAGCCCCCATTTTTTTTTTACCATTTACAGGCACGTTCTAAATCCGCCTGAAGTGTAAAACAATCTGTCACGTTGTCGATTCGGAGATAAATTTTCACAACATCAGCGTACATAAGGCACTCACTCTCGATTTGGTCAGGAACATCAGCCAGAAAGCAGACGAATAGCAACGGTCCTAGGATGCTGCCTTCCGTGACACCAGATCGCACTGGAATCCAGTCAGACTGTTTGCCGTTCAGCACCACGCGTTTTGAACGATTGCTGAGGTACGACTCCAGCCACTTGTACGCACTCGCAGCGCTGCAAAAAGAATAGCGAGCTTGCGTGGCAGAAGAGCCGGTGAATGCTGAGGAGTAATCGGTGTAAATTGCATCCGTTTGTTTATCTTTTGAAAAAGATTCCAGCAGCGTTCAAGAAAACATGAAAGGTTTGTGACACAAGAGCTCTTTGGAAGGAATCCGTGCTGGGATGAGAGAAGGGCGGGCAGACAAACCTGTAACAGGCTATCGCTCACAGCACCAATGGCTCCTCGGCACCAATAGCTCAATACCTAGCTTCTCAGCACATTTTCTGAGAATCCAGGCACTGAGCCCGTCGGGACCACAGGCATTGTGTGCACTGAGATCGCGTAACGAGTATGCAACACGGCCATGTGGTGCGCTGAAGCTGTCTAATACAGGCGCATCGAGCAGAGGTGGGTCAGGCAATATACGAACGTCAGGGTCGCAGAACTTATGAGCAAAACATATATTTAGATAGCTGGCACGCTCCTCGTCACTTTTGTACACATTGTCATCGCACTCAAGAACGGAAGATATGTGGGCTGATGACTTCGACGACTGAACAGAAGACCAATGACGTTTCAGGTTGCCCTTAAAATCTCCCACTAGACCCAACAAATACTCGCGATATTTAACCTCAGCTGCTGTTGGAAACCTCATGTCGCTGGGTGGTTGCTGGGCCTGCAGCAGCCTGTCCCAAGGCTTGACGTCCCCTGACGCTTAACATCCAGACGCTTCATCATGGCGTTTGTAGCGGCTTCTCGGTTACATCTCTTGAAAGCAATGTAAACTCTTCGAAAGGCGACCAGAGAGCTCGGCTTCCCCACCCCGTCAGCCGAAAGTGTAACACCAGCATGCTGGTCCTCCCCGCCAAGGTTCGCCCTCGATGACTTCCATCTTTCTTGCAGCTGCATATCATACCTCCGGAACCTCCGGGAGGGTGATGTTTGATCTTTACAGTTGCCTTTGGAGCTGGCAGAGTGCGCTTCCGATGGTCACCACCATCGTTGACACGACTCTCGTTAGACTGGTCTGCGTTCACTTTTTAAAGTACCTCTGCGCTTCTGATTCTTCCCTCTTAGAGGACTTTTCCTCTTCTTCGACTGCTTCCCATAGCAACCTGTACTCAGGCAGATCGGTGAGTGCAGCTGTCGCTGAGTTCACCAGGTGCTCTTATCAGGTCGGCTTTCCAATGAGCCAGTTCCGGGACCGTGACCTTCAGATTTACCAGTACGATGTCACTGCCGTGGCGCGTGCACCAAACGGTGATGGTGTCACGTTCCAGCCAATCTGTCATCTTCCATAGCCCGTTGTTCCTTCCCGTATTGGCAATCTCTCCATCCGTCGTAACGCCGATCAGCTTGTCAATCAGCATGCTGCACTTTGTCATTGTCGTCTGCACGGCCTCCAGGAGCCTGCCAACGCCACTTTGTTCGAGTTTAACAAACGACATAAGGTGCGTCTTCAATTCGGCATCAGCCGTCACCATTATCACCGCTACATGTGTGCCGTCCAGCTGTTTGGCGGTCAAACACTTCCAGCCACTTAGGGGCCGTCCGCCGCACACGCACCAATGTCCAATGCGAGTTTTTTAGTTCATCTATACAATATCTCAATCACTGACAGTGCTAGGCAAGCGGTATCTGGTAACTCAATCATGTGCGACGAGGGTTCACCGACCGCGCGCGTTCTCAGAGCTCGTCGCGGTTGTTGTCGTCAAAGAGCGCCAGATGCCAGCTCTCCTGGATGTCGAGCTGGTTCCAGAACTCCACCCGCTCGCTGAAGGCGGCCCGGCCCACGGACGGTGCCATGTTCAGTCGCATGTGCTCCTGACGGCTGGCCGTGTAGATCGGCCAGCTGGGCATGGGCACCGCGTCAGTGCTCGGGTACCCACGGCGCGCGAAGTTCGTCCACAGCGGACACCATGAACCGGATCATCTTGTGCTCGTCCGAGTCGCGCGCTATCGGCGGTCCGAACACCGGCTTAAAGAGGTACAGCAGGTCCTCCGCGTGCGGCACGCCCAGGTCCCTGTAGGACTCCAGCTTCCCCATCAGCAGGGCCATTAAGCGCAGGAAATTCTGTCGGCCCGGCCCCATGTGGTCCAGGACGTACATGTACACCGGCGTGTGGGCAGCGGCCAGGTTCGCCTCGCTCGTGATGCACGCCGTGAACCAACGGTCGCTGAGCATGTCGCTGAGCGACTGCAGGTTCTCCTCGCCGCAGCCAGCGTCGCCGAAGTACTGCCGGTAAATCTTTTCGGCGACGGCGGCGGGCGCGGTGGTGACGTCCGCGACCTGGAGGATGCTGGACGCCCAGCGGCCCCAGTCACGACCGCTGTACACCGCCACGGACTCCGGTTTCGAACGCATCCGGCCAACCAAGAACGCGCCCTCGTCCCGATTCAGGCCGGTCATCCACGGCACCAGGTTGAATTGACCATCGCGAAGCGAGATGTACGGATCCCGTGGGAGGAACGGCATCTGTGACTCGCGGTCCACGCGCGGCTTGAAGTGGATGGGCAACTGGACCACGGGGTCCTCCTTCATCATCGCACCGAGTGACCTGAGGATCTCTTTGGCGGGCCGCTGTCGCATGCATCCGACCAGTTCGCGGCTGCTAGCCGTAGAGCACTTTAGCAAGGTGGCCAGCTGATCGGCAGCCTTTCCCTGAGGCTCCCCGCTGGCGCCGAAGTTGCAGAACGACGCCCCTGACTGACTGATGGCCTTGGCGAAGAGGCCTCGCGAGCGCGGGCTCAGCACCTGCAGGCCCACGCTGGCGCCGCCGGCCGACTCGCCGAAGATGGTGACGTCGTCGCGATTGCCGCCGAACGCCTCGATGTTGGCCTGCACCCACTCGAGCGCGAGTACCTGGTCGTGCAGGCCGTAGTTGCCGGGGGCGTTGGCATCCGCAGTGGTCAGGAAGCCGAACGGACCCAGCCGGTAGTTGAACGTCACAAGCACCACCTGCTCGTCCATGAAGTAGTCCGGTCCGTAGAAGTCAGCGTCCCCGGAGCCGGTGACGAAACCGCCGCCGTGGATCCACACCATCACAGGCAGCTCCGGGTGCTCCCCTTCGGCGGGCAGGCTGGGTGTGTACACGTTCACGAACAAGCAGTTCTCGTCGCCCTCCAACGCCCCGGCTGAGAGCATGCTGTACTGGAGACACTTGCTGCCGTGTTTCTTGGCGTCGCGGACTCCCGTCCAGCCCTGGTGGGGCTGTGGCGCCCGGAACCGCATCGGCCCCAGTGGAGGCTCAGCGAAACGGAATGCCTGCGGAGGGGGGCGGCGTGCGCGTGAGAAGTTCGCCGCCGCGACGACGAGCAGTGCGTCACAGAACGTCAACATTCAAGACCAGCAGCATCTTTTCACCACGCATTGGCGATGGTTTTATGGCCTGTGTTCAGGTTGATGCAGATTTAGATATTTTGGGACCAAACAGTGCGTGAGAGCGGTTTCGCTTATGAATGTGCGGTGCATGTGGTGAAAATCTTAGAACGTGAATCGGTACACTGGTACACTGCGTTTATCATTATGCGTGCTACGTCTTCGATCAGTTTTTTCTAAACATAACAAATGAATTTGTGATGTTTGGGAAGGTGGGCATACGTTGATGTTTTGGCCAGGGTATACATTGCTACCGCATGTTAAAAAAGAGCATGGTACATCAATCGTCTTTTTTGGGGCGGAACATATAATAATAGTCGTAAAACAGGTCATCTAAACTCTCACCTTGGGAACTTAATAACTACGATAGCAAACATCTGAGCTCCACAAACACGCAGCAACCGCGACCACGACACCACTGCTACGCGTGATCACAACATTACTGCTCATCAAGAACCATAAAAATGTATGGGGCCAAGGCAACAATAACCCAATGAAATATGTTTCTTGCGTATCTGAGCAGTCTTCCGTACTGTTTGTAGATTGGTCGACATGGTGGGCAAATATGACGTCTTTGAGTGAGGAATGAAAAGCAAAATGAGAATACGGCGGCTAAACGAAACTTCTCAATACGGTACATATATATGGCATGGAATATGGATGCCAATGGGACAATGGGTAGAAGGGGATAGGGTGGGGAGGCTATGTTAGGTAAGGTTAGGTTAATTTAGGTTAGGCTAGGCTACGCTCGGCTAGGCTAGGCTAGGCTAGGCTAGGCTAGGCTAGGCTAGGCTAGGCTAGGCTAGGCTAGGCTAGGCCAAGCTAGGCTAAGCTAAGCTAGGCTAGGCTAGGCTAGGCTAGGCTAGGCTAGACTAGACTAGACTAGACTAGACTAGACTAGACTAGACTAGACTGGACTAGGTTAGGTTAAGTTAGGCTAGGCTAGGCTAGGCTAGGCTAGGCTAGGCTAGGCTAGGCTAGGCTAGGCTAGGCTAGGCTAGGCTAGGCTAGGCTAGGCTAGGCTAGGCTAGGCTAGGCTAGGCTAAGCTAGGCTAGGTTAGGCTAGGTTAGGCTAGGTTAGGTTACGTTAGGTTACGTTACGTTACGTTAGGTTCGGTTCAGATCATGTAAATTAGGCGAATTTAGGCTAATTTTGGCTAGGTCCTGAACTATTCTAGTCTGTCTGTTGCATCAACGTACCTACACGCCATAAGAAACGTATTTCATTGAATTATTGCTGTTGCCTTGGCCCCGTACATTTTTTCTGGTTCTTGATAAGCAGAAATATTGTAACCAGGCAACAATAACGCAGAAACGGCGCTGGGGAGTCGGGTCGGTGGAGTGTGTGCGGCGCTCGGGAGCTCCCTATCGTAGTAATGAAAATTCGAAGGTAGGAGCATGAATAATCTGTTTTAAGATTATCTACGAGATGTTCGGTCTCAACCACGACGAATGATATACAGTGATTTGTTGACATTTGATGTTTTGATTCCCAGTCCGTGTTGTCAATTTATGTTTTTTCTTATTAACCACCGGTCGCGAAGCCTATATTTTTATCTTTGGTCCAGCTCTACCATGCGGTGTGGTCTGCTGACATGTTCGAACATCAACAGCACACCAAGTGAGTACCAAGAAGGGGATCATGGCCCTACAACCTCTCATAACCATGAACCGTTCCAAACGGTGGTGCAAGCATTTCGGTGCGATATCTTCTTTGGTTCTTTGTGCTGCTCAAGCCTTCATGGTAGACTAAATAATCACGCCAACCCAAACATCTACTGATGTTTGGTTATAGATCCACAGAACAGCAGACAAGAAATAAGGTCGCACACGCCTCACAGGCTGTCGTCAATTCGCACAGCGCAGAACTTAACTGTAAAACTAATACAGCCAGAGCTGACGAAAATAGCATACCTTTGAACGAGAAGTAGCTGTTGCCGACAAATGACTTGAGTTTGGCTCCGCTGACATCACCGGACTGGGTGGAGACCTTTGGCCCCGTGGCGGCCATTGTGGCGCAGAATGCCGCACTCAGCATGGCCAACAACAGCGGAAGGCGTCCCATCGCCGCAGCTGAAACGACGAAAACACAAAGTTGAAACGGCGATACAGACACGGCACGCGGCCTGTGACCTTGACGCCGAGATCAAGGTCAGCCCGACGGGGCATGCGTGAACGCTGCGCTGGCGATGCCGGCGCTCGAGGCCAAGTTGAGCAGTGCGTTTGGCAAGCCGGAACAGTTCTGCTAGCAAATAACGCTGGCTGGTGAGAACTCTAGGGCTGCGGCATCGAAATATGATCGATGGGCAGCTGTGTGATGATCTTAATGTCTCGTGGCAGTATCTCAAAATTTTAAGAAATGAATTGTTATTTAGCACTGGGTACTTGCAGCTATGCTGAGGTGGCCAATATGCCAGTATTTTCCGGGTTACAGGTCTTGCTGCGTTAGGATCCCAACCCGCCCTATACAGGTTCTTGGAATGGGGTGGGGAGGGGGGGGGGGGTGGGCCGCCGCCGCGCCGCCATACGGCCAACCCAATCAGCGCGGACATGATGCTCACTCAAGACTGAGTGCCGTAACAGTCCTTAATTCCTTGCTCATAGTTCCAAGCTTTTTTCTCAGGCTGATACGGCTCTGACTCCACCAAACAATAACAACTCACAGGCATCCCATTTATTTTGCTGGTCGTTAGTGTTGTGCCGCCATTCTCCGTCGCAATGAAAACAATGCCTGCTTAATCTTCTAAAACTATGTGCTCACCCTAATCGCTCGTATTCTGTCTATGTCGATCCTGACCGCGCCTTGATATGCTTCCTAAGACCGGGAACGCTCCGAGCAAGACACCATCTTCACGACTTAGACAACACAGAGGCGTACCGGCGTTGTGGAAAGCGGCCGAAATTACTGCATCAGGCCAGTCGTAGCTTGCGACATGATGTAGTCATGACTGAGATGCAGCCTGATTGTGGTAAGTCACGCTGTGTACACGGCAGCATTTGGAAGCAATCAATGCCTGTCGGACGGTCGTGACATGTTGGGGCATGTCAGCTGTCGGCCTCGTATGGATTGCGTGATTGATGACGAGTTTTTCCCCGCAAAGCTTGCCAGGAACTGTGTAATGTGATCACATTGAAGTGCGTGATTGCTCCGTTCGCTCAGCCAGCTGATTCTACTTTCCGTCCGTATTCGAACTAGAGCGTTCCACATCGCCGTCTGACATTACAGCCTGTGATCCCACAGGTTGTTGCGACGTAGGCGGCGTGTGCCTTTGCATAGCTAGCCTGTGCCTCGTTGCTAGCCTCGGCGTTATTGTGCACCAATAAGCAATGTTCCACTAATCCGTCTGGAGCGCGGCCGACGCTGAGCATGACGCAAAAAGGATTTGCCGTCCGCTGCGGCGCGAGTGAAGAAGGATGAGTAATCAAAACGTCGTGTATTCTGAGATGATGTTCACTGAGACGAGATGTAGCTGAGTTACTGTGACCTCCTTGGTGCTGGATAAACCCTGTCATCACGACCAAAAGTGTCGTTTCTCCTGCGTGCCATGCACCCTGACCACGTAAGACCGGCCAGCTCGCCAAAACTGGAACTCGCCAATCTAAAAATAGCACACCGCCCGGTTTTTAAAGGAACCGACATTTGCTTGCGGTGTTGACATTTGCATGGGGACATTTGTGTGCAGTTTTCAATCGAAATAGATATCGCCTTGATTAACCTCTGCAGTTCATAACCATGCCATTTTTTAGACTTCACATCCTCTTGTTTCTGAGCTTCATAAACTTGAACGTGTGCAGCCTATTACGCATCAATTATTTTAAGGTCATCCGGACATTATGACGTCATTGCAAAGTGACGCAAAGACAACGCCTCGTTCGGTTTATTGTGCTCATGGTCAAGACAAATATGGATACTTAAAGGCAATGTTCCAGTTCCGAAGACATTGAAACAAACATCAGATACGATGAAACAAGTTCACTTATATCCATTGATAGGCTTTTAAGTGGAAAAGACTGCTCTAGACGACACAAATTATCTGTTCAGTAGATGTGCCCCTGAACAGGCCATTGTTTAGTTGCTTCATTGTACCTTGCGTAATATTGATTGAAGCCAATTGATGGCCGTTGTGCCTGGAAATCGTGCTGAGAAACACCACATGTGACGACCCGACGACCACATTTGTTTGCTTTTGATCGCCGCATGGCTAATGGAATGGCAGAATTTGAATGACGTCATCATGGTGTAATGAATGCCTGAGTGACGTTTGAAGCCTTCCTAAAAAAAGTTTACACTCTTTCGCGGGGGTGTAACTAAAAAAACCAGAGGGGTTTAGGTGTCAAGAAGGGCAAGGCTGTGAACTGCACTGAATGCTCTTCAAAACGACTACTTCAATTCAACAACCGATACAAATGTGGAACACTCGTTTTAAACATTTGTATTTGCAGTAATGCAGAACCAGGTGGTCTAACGATAAAAGACAGTTGGCTAACAGTTAGACGGTGCTACTGATTATATTCTTAATCACGAACCGCGTTTTGTTATAGAGAGTACAGGCTTTCGGCCAACCACAACATTTGACAAGCATGAGGCTAAAATCGAAAAATAAAAAATAGCACAGTAACCGAGAATGCAAATGCAAGCAAAAAGACATGCCTTCGCAGTAAGAAGCAAATGCACCCACGTGCACAGCGTCCGTGTTTTAAAGTTGCATGCATAAGCCAGCAACGCCATCTTGCGGCGTTGTATAGTATATCACAAGTGATATCACATATAGTATATCACAAGTGAGTCATGCCGTCTGCTAAAGCAGCAACTCTGGCACAGCAACTCTGGCAGCGACTCTGACGTCACAAAAGGTACTTAGTGGGCAGAAATTAATTGGATGAGTTTTTTCTATTGAATTATACAAAAGGCCACATGTGAGCTTACCATTACATGTGATACTTCCTTTATCCGTCCTAAAGAGGATTCCATTTTATAGGAGATGGGACCTGCTTTTGCATTATGTTCTTGGTGTCAATTCCGTTTTACTGCGCGGCGGTTGTTAACAACCTAGAGGTATTCGCAGGGACCCGGACGACAAAAAATCTAAGTCGTGGACACTATTGACAATCTCACACACCATAGATTTAGTGCCTTAGGCATTCGCGGCAATCCGGAAGACAAAGATTCCACGTGACGTCACGTAGAATCTTTGCTGGACATGCGGAATCTTTTTTGCGCGACTCGATCGAAGTGAGGCAGCGATGGCATCACATATTCAATTACAAACACGTCACTGTGTGCTTCGGACCGACCGATGGTGGTGACACGCAAATCAACGTGTCTACATTACAAACAGCATAAATGGCGATTTCCCTTGCTAATACCTTGCGAAGCATTTGCAGCTTAGTGTCGTTACATACGCTGTTATTTCACGACAGTTTCGCAGATGCAAGCAGAAAACGTGTCGCGTTGCGGACACGTCCGGCAAAGATCCTACGCGAC